GAGGTTGGTAAAAGAGATAATAAGGAGGGGACATAAAATTAGGAAAAGGGAACAACAGCAATAAGAACAACAACCACAAAGCAGAAGAGAGAGACTAGTAATATGTTTATTTTTATAATTGCTTTTTTGGAGATTATTAAATGAAGATATCTGGAAGTGGAAGTATCTGATGAAGGTGTAAAAATAGCATATGATTGACTTAGAATGATGCCTTTTCATAAGTAAGTAGAGCAGAACTGAACAAGGAGAATAATCAGCAGGGAAGATAGGAGTTTGGAATGAGAATCTGTTGTGCACAAAATGAGGAGCTAGGAAATATCTTACCTAAATAGTCTACCAATTTAGATGCACGATGATTTGACTGAATTGGAAGAGCCAATGGGGGAGGACACAAGCTTCCCAACTTCTGGAAGGAAAATGTTTACAACCGAACCAATAGGATTAAAGCCCCAAGCCCCAAGAAGATCCCTATGTCCTGTCTCTTGTGTAAATTAAAAATAAAGATACTGGCCAACTAGCAAGCAAAATCCATGCGTATGTAGAACGAAAATAGCTTCTCTTTCGATATGCTGATTGCACAGTACTGGTTATGTTAATCAAAGCTGAACCTCTCTCTCTCTCCCGTAGCCTGGTTTTACCGGTGCCCTGAGTACACAGGGTAATTCAGCACTGGACAGAATTATTGAATCATCTATATAAATTGTAAAAATAATAAGCAATATCTGGTCTGTACTTGCTAGTATATAATTCATTTCTTCCTGCCAAAAATTTTATTAAAAAAAACTACCCTGGCAACCATGCTTACATAGTATAAATGGAAGTCTGAGTCAAAGATAAAATAATGGATGATTTAGCCATCTAAATAAATAGAAGGAGAGATAGTATATTCAGTAGGGGGCAGCCCCCTAGGAGAAAGCCATAAATTCTGCATGTGCCATAATACTGTGCCACACTGTAAACCACAAAACACATTTGCATAAGTTCCAATGTCATGCTCCTGGACACAGTGAAACTCGTCTTTTTCAGTATACACAGGATGAAAAGTACTGAAATCTTTCCCCTAGACAAGTATTTCAAAACAGCGTACATTAACTGCAGGTCCATTTTGTGTATTGGCTAATACAACATGTGTCTGAGGATGGAATAAATATCACAAAATTTTCATCAAGGTTTAAACTAAATTCTATCGGCACTGTGACCACGCACTAGAGTATGATTTAACTTGGGCCCCCTCCCATTTTTAAAGTCACTCTATTTCAGTATTTCTTCAGATCTGTTTTGTGGGCCACCCAAGTCACAATCATAGGGTGCTGGTTAGAAAAGCAGCATCCAGAGCTGCCCTACAGACTCAGCATCTGATGATCTCAGGGGCTGACACCAGGGTATCTGAATTTTCAAATCTCCTGGTGAACTTCAAGCACATTCCAAATTAGGATCCAGTGAATTAATGTTTTAGTGTCATTGTTCCTCACTAGTTCTTTCTAAACCCTTCCTTGGTCAGGGGATGGCTCATTCCCATGTGAGTTCCTGAATGGAAGAGTTAGTGGCCAGGCATTTCCAGAGGAAAAAAAAAAAAGGAGGCTAACTAGCTGGGTAAACGGGAAGCTAGAATTTGTTTTGGAGATCAAATGAACCCACAGAGGCTTGGAGGAGGAAGGGAATTGAGCCAGTTGTTGCCAAAGGCTCCCTCTCCTCCCAACACACTTAGAAGAGCACCTGAAAAGATGGGAAACAACCTTCACGATTTCCCTGGAGTTGGTGATGAAACTTCCAATTCAGTTACAGTTGCCTGGTGGGGTAGTTTCTTCTTCATAGAGGGAGGAAGCTCAGAGGTAAACCAAATGCCACTGCAGCCCGTGGGAATCTCCGGGGCCTCCCCTCAAGTAGGCTGCATTCTTTTACCTATCATTGGTAGATTATGGCCCAGAACAATACATTTTTTTCTCAGTTCATTATTTTGATCTTCTCTTGTCCCTACCTACAAGCCTTAGATTTTCTAAATCCAACCTCCTCGCCAAATCATATATATTATGAGCAATAAATTAAAATGGCCACTTGGATAGAAGTACTAATCTGTGACTAAATATTTAACAAGGGGGCAGGAAAAATTTACATTTTGATCTTCAAACACTGGAAAACGAGTGCCCTCAGTTGTGAGCTTTCCAAATTGGCAAGACTGCAAGGGCAAAAGAAAATTTCCATGCATTTGATTGACCCCTTGAGAGGTGAGCTATTAATAGCAGCAAGAACTTGCCAAAAACTATCTGGAAAATATCGGATGAAAAGTGATTGAAACTAGAAGTATCTTAAGCTGGTCAGCAGAGCCATGTCTGAAGGAGAAAGATGAGAACATATTACACATGCATAAGTATCTTTTGTATATAATATTTATGCCTGCATATAGAACACATATCACATCTGTATCTGTATATTTAATGATTCATTTGAATCCAGCAAATATTTATTGAGTAGCTACTAGGGGTTGTGCGCTATGCCATGCTAGGTTTGGGGAACACAAATAATAAGATCTAGGTTCTCTTTGCTCCAGGATCTCCCAAACTGGAAGCGTGTGGTGAGGGAACATTATGATTCCTGTGACTTACTACAACCCGACAAGGGTTATATTAGCAACTTACAGAAAGATTAATCGAGGAGAAGAAACCTGGTGCTGGTGCCAGTGATTAGAGAAGCCTTCCCAGAAGAGGTGATGTTTGGGATTTCAGCAGACACAGGAGTGTGAGGACTGTGTCATTCTGGCAGAGGAACAATTTGCAGGTTAGGAGTACCCGGCTGGAATGAGGGAGTTGGGGGTGGATTGGGTAAGGAGTAGCAGTGCTCCCAGTCTGAGTGATAGGTTCCTTTATATATTCATTTATTCAGCGCGCTTTCGACGGATGCTGATGGAGGTTGGTGCTGGGTACAGAGGCTGCGGAGACAGGCTTCGCCTTTTCATGGTTGATGTGATGATAGGAAGAGAGTGATGGACTGTTGTGAAACAAACAGAAACCCCAGCCCTGTGTGATTCTAGAAGGATTTTCTGTGGTGTCCCAATGATACCTTTCTGGGTAACGGTTGCCATTTCATTGAGCACCTTGGAAGTGCTGTGCTGAGTAGCTGTGCCACTTCCAATGCTCACAATCCTGAGTGGTAGGTATTTCCTCTGTTTACAGATAGGAAGAGAGAAGCTCTGGGTGCCTGAGATTGCACAGCTTAACCTATAGGAAGCTCGGATTTGTGCAGACATTGATCTCAGGGGCCTGGTAATTATAAAAGCTGAAGAACAGCTATTCAAGTACTTCCCCACCCCAACCCCTGCCGAAAATACCATCTCGAAATGCCTTGGGACTCTGCCGGCCTCTGATGCTGTGGGACAGCTCTGCACGATCTGTGCAGGTGATTTATGTCTGTCTGTCTGGTCTTCCCAGAGACCAGAGCTTATTGCCTTGCTGGGCAAAGCTGCAGGGGATCCCTGCCCCACCCCATCCCCATCCCATCCCCATCCCCCCCAAAGCAAAGATTTCCAATTACTCCGCTGCAGAAAATGTCAAAAGCATTATTCAACTATTCATTATCCCAGGTTTTGTAATTTTTCATATGTTTTTAACTCTTATCTGCTAGCCCTTGAAAAAGACCAGCTTTTTCCTCTTAAGAGAGCTTAATTTGCAGAGAGGCGCAGTCTCCCTATTATGTTCTTATCATCCTCTCCCCGTGGTAGGCAGAATGACAAGGATGACAAAAAAAAAAAAAAAAAAAAAAGAACCAAAAATATTTGAAGGGCTTCCTGAAAATCCATGGGAATGAAGGATCCAAAAAAGCCGGAGGCTTCTGTTCCTCGACTGACCTGGAATAAGGCCAAGGGCGATGGGCAGCGGGTCTCGGGGCCCCCTGGGGGGGAAGGGGGGCTCTTGGCTGCCCGTCCCGGGCCCTGAAGCAGCACCCAGGGCCGCAGGACGTTGCCTTTGGTGTCTCTCAGGAGCTTAACTAGGGGATCAAGCAGCATGGGGGGGGGCCGTGGGGTTACCCGGAAATTCTCGTATTGCCGTACCCGTGTGCAATCAGCCTGGGCCTCGGGAGGCGGAGGCCGAAGCCTGCGGGGCGTGGGTGCTCGGACCCCCGCCCCCGCCCCCGCCCCCGCCCCCGGCCGGGTCCGTCCCGGTGCGGGACGCGCAAGGCTCGCTCGCGGCTCTGCAGCGGCCACTAGGCGCCCGGCTCCCCGTTCCCACCTAGAGGGCGCCCCGCGCCCGCCCCCAGCATCCCCCCAGCATTCCCTAGCTTCCCCCCAGCATCCCCCAGCTTCCCCCAGCATCCCCCCAGCATCCCCCCAGCATCCCCCCAGCATCCCCCAGCATCCCCCCAGCTTCCCCCAGCATCCCCCCAGCATCCCCCAGCATCCCCCCAGCATCCCCCCAGCATCCCCCAGCATCCCCCCAGCATCCCCCCAGCATCCCCCAGCATCCCCCCAGCTTCCCCCAGCATCCCCCCAGCATCCCCCCAGCATCCCCCAGCATCCCCCCAGCATCTCCCCAGCATCCCCCCAGCATCCCCCCAGGCTCCCGGAGACGGCGGCCCGGCCCGGGGCTCCCCCAGGGGCGCCAGGCTCGGGGGAATCCCCGCCCACCGGCCGCCCGTGCGGGGGGGGGGATCCCCGCCCCCCGGGCCTGTCACTCGGCGCGGGGAGTTCCCGCCCCTCGCGGCCCCCGGAGGGAGGGGGAGGGGGAGGGGGAGGGGGAGGAGGGAGGGGAGGGGAGGGGAGGGGGAGGGCGGAGGGAATCCCCGCCCATCCCCGGGCTCCGCGGCTCCCCGTTGCCGCCGCGCAGCTGGGCGAGCCGGCCGAGGAGCGGGCTGCGGCCGCGGGGACCCGCCGAGCCCGGGGCGCCCGGGACTGCGCCTCCCGCGGCGGCGGGGAAGCGGCGGCGGCTCGGGGCGGCGGCGGCGGCGGCGGCGGCGGCGGGAGCGGGAGCGGCGGGAGCGGGAGCGGCGGGAGCGGCGGGAGCGGCGGCGGCGCGGGGACCCGCCGGGCGGCGCCGGGGGCCGGACGCGCGAGGAGCAGCGGGAGCTCGGCGGAGCCGCGCGCAGGTGAAGCGACCGTCCCGCCGCGACCCGGGGCGCGGGGCTGGGGGGCGGGGGGGGCGACCCGCACCCCCGGGGACCGAGCGAGCCCGGGAAAGTTTGGCGACGATTCCCGGGGCGAGGCGGCGGGCCGGGCGGCGACCCCGGGTGGGGCGGCTCCAAGTCCCCGGCCGCCCCCCCCCCCCCCCCGGCACGGGGCCAGCGGCGCCCACCTGAGCCGTCGCCGGCCCCCCCGCGGCCCCAGGGACCCGGGGCGCCGCTCAGCGCCCCCATCAGCCGCCGGCTCCCTGCCCGGGGGACACGCGGGGAAGGAGAACGGAGCAGGCGCGCGGAAGGCAAGGACGTCCGTGGGGCAGGGTCGGCATCTCCCGGGGAGACGGGAGCGTCCTCGGGAGGGAACCCCGCGTCCCCCCGGAGTCGAGCGCCTCCCCGCAGCTGGCCCGGCTCCTTGCGGTCGCCCTCCTCCTCCCCCTCCCCCCCCAGGTGCGCGGTGGGTGCTGCAGGGCTTGGGGCTGCTGGGCTTGAGTCCGGGGAGGGTCCAGGGTCCCCGGCCGGAGTTTGCCAGAAGCCTGTCCCCGAGGCCTGCTCCGCGCAGAGACCTTGATAAGAGACGCTGGAGTGTGCGGGGGACAGTGGCGGGCTCGAGGGCATTCCCGGGCTGCAGCCCTGACCCGGCCTGGAGGTGGAGGCCGGTGGGGGGCGGGTGGGGGGTGCATCTGTGCCCTGCAGCTGGCCCAGCAGGGTTGGGGTGCTTTGGCTGGCGTGTTCCCTTGACAAAGCACCATGAAGCTGCCCGAGGTGGTCCCTGAGGGGCTGCAGAAAGTGATCCGTGGACCTGCTTCTGGAGAGAGCTGCCCTGGGCCCTCAGCGCTGCGGGCCCCTCGCGGGCCAGCCTGCTCCGGACTCGGGCCCGCCCCCCCTTCCACGGGCCGGCTCCTCCCCACCGTGGCTTCGGGGTGCGGGTCAAGTAGGTCTAGGCCGCAGGTGTGGCGTGGGAGGGTTGCTTGCGGGGGCGCGTAGAATGCCTCAGAACACACCCCTGACAGTAGGTGGTGGTTCTAGCTTCATCAGTTCCTTCTTCCATTAGACACGGGCTAAGGACTGCTGCTCCACTAATAACCACATAGTGGTGTGAGAGCGTGCAGGGGGGTGGGCAGACGGAGCGGAGGGGTGCAGGAGTGTGCTGGGAGGGGAGGAATCAGAACCATGCAAAGTATATAAATGCACCTTCCCTTGCCATAGTTCATGTGCTCAGGGAGAAATATTGAATTATGCTTTAAATCTTCGTCATTAGGATTGATTTTGCATGCACTTAAGTAAGGCAGTTTACTATTTAAGGGAACTTAAGATAATCTCTCTATTCATTTCGACCATTTTATTTTTGGACTACCTGTGGTTTGCTGTGCGTAGGCCCTCAGAGGTTCCTGGGGATGCACGCGGAGGCTCCCTCCTTGCTGTCAGAGTTTCAGTGTGTCAGAAGTGAGATAAGTGTATTGACAGCTCCGACCCAAACCAGTGCGCGTGTGGCATGGAACAGGTGCCCTGTGTTTGGGTGAAGGGATGATCTAAAGGATAAAGTACCTGAAGAGTGGTCCACATCGAGCACTTTAGAAGTACAGAGGAGAAAGAGTCACTTTTGACTGAGGAGCTCTGAAGGGCTCTGTGGGGGACCTAGGTAGGTGGAGAAGGAATGGGCTGAGGGGTTGATCCTGAGTGTGGATGTGGCCTGGGGGTATGCCGGGAGAAGAGGCTGGCCTGAGGTCTTAAGGAATTTAGGTCTGCAGCTGATAGGGAAATATTTGGGATTTTTAAGCAAAGGATTGTCGCTTTGTGCTTTAGGGAGAGGAGTCTGATCTGTGGGAGAGATGGGAGGTGACTTGTCCAGTGAGAAGGTTAGAGTAATAAGTCGGGCACAGGAGGTAACGGAGGCCTGGCAGCAGCTATGGAAAGAAAAGTTCATTAGGCATGACCTTGAAGCATGGGCGCTACTTGCATTTGGAGTGAAGAAGCAGCAAAGATCACCTGAAGGTTAGGAGTGTGAATGCACAGGTGACTGAAATGGAGACTCAGGCTTTTAACATTGAGCAAACCAGCAACCTGGAGACATCCTTCCAGATCTCTCCTCTCTCTTCCCACACTACTCAGGGTCCCAAGCCTAGCAGTCACCTGTCCTTGTGAAACCTGTCAGTGTGTCCCAGGACGCAGAATAAATTCCAAATCCTATGTGCTTCTTCAGGCTTCTTTCCTGCTCTCTGTCAAACTCTCTGCCTCTACGAGGCTGATTTGCTGGGGGGTGGTAGTGGGAGGAGTGAGGTCGTAGAATATCCTTTCTTCCCTGCTCTTCCTGATGAACCACTTCTTACTCTTCAAGATCCAGCTCGAGGGCCGCCTCCTCTGTGATCCTCTGTCTCTCTCTCTCCCAAGTTGAGCAGTCCTACCTTTGGACTTTGCTCTAAGGAGCCGGTTGGCACACTCATCACGCTGCCCTGGGCCTGTTTCTTTAGGACCATATCTTATTATGTGCAGATAAAGCCTCCACCAGCCACCCGCAGCTTCCTCAGGGAGAGAGGCATAGGCAACACTCCAGGACTCCCTCTCCTCACCACCAGCTAATTGACTTGGTGTTACCCTCACCCTCACTTGGAAGCTCCAGGCCTGTAGGCTGGACAAGATAACACAGAGCTGCAGATACTCCTTTGGCCTAGATCACGTGGGCCTATGTAACTTAGACTACGGTGTGTGTGTGTGTAGGGGGTAGAGATGCCTCTGTTGGAATGTGGCCTCAGGGCCTTCTTACTGCCCCAAACACAAGAGAAAGCATCCCAAGGAAGATGAACCCACAAAAGGTCAGGCCCAAACTCAAAGAGAGGCTGAATCTCCAACAGGACAGACTTGGAGACTTGTCAGTTTTTAACCTCTGTCTTGTGCCTTCAAAAGGGTCTCCATAATGCCGTGTAGGATGCAGTAGGCAAGCCCCTGAGGGAGGTAGGCAGACAGGTAGAGGCAGGAGTGTCTGGGAAGGGCCAGCCTCGACAAAGGCTGAGAACAGTGTCTGGAAAGGATGGTTCAAGGGACGAAGGAGAGAGGGATTGCCAAGACAATTGAAGTTGGAGGATAGACACTGGATCTAGAACTGTGCCAGTTAAAAATAATCTGGGGAGTATTTTGAGGAGGTGGTAGTGTTGTAGGAAGGCTTATTCAGGAATGTCCCCCAAATCCCCTGCCCAGGCATGTTTGGTAAACACATGAGCAGTGGGAGAGAACGAAGACAAGATTAGGGATGTTTGGGAGGGAGGAAGCCAGAGGTGAACAGAAGAAGCAGGTGCAGGGAAAGAAAAAAGCTGGCATCTCCCCTCCAGGGAAGGTAGGAGGGAAGCAGGGGTTGGGAGAGGCACCGGAGAGGGAGCCTGCAGTGAAGCGGAGGGAGTGATGTCTTGGTCAAACAGGAGAGGTGTCCGCTGCTGGGGCCTGGGGCAAGTGGAAGTGCTGCTGGCAGCCGGGCCAGTGAACCTGGTGCCTGGCACCAGCCGAGGCAGCGCCGAGAGGGAAAGGAAGATTTCTGGGATTGGGGTCAGGGGCTTTGGCTGGAGTCCTAGCAGTGCAGAAAACTTCTCACTGGCCAGATCATTAGAAATATTGAAGCCCCGGTTTCCTCTTGTGCAGGATTGGTAAATAGCTGCTTCCCAGGGTTGTTCTGGGGGGGGGGGGGATGAGAAAAGATACTGAGGTATGTATGCAGGTTCCTCAAAGACAGCGTCTGCTGCAGGGTAGTAAGTGGGTCCTTCTGATAGTGTGTTGAGAAATGAATGAGCCTATTGTCAAAGTCCGTGACAGCCCCGCGAGTGTACAAGGCAGGACTTTTTAGTGGCCCCCGTCGAAGCTTGCTTTCAGCTTTGGATGAAAAGCTCTGGACTCCTGGGAGGAGCCTCTTGCCTCCCTGCTCCCACTTTCCCACTTTAAGGAATCTTTCAGGATGTCTGCCTTTTTATCTGTTGGCTTGTTTGGTGGACACATGCGTAGTTTACATCACTCTTTGCCCCGGCTCCAAGCAGGGAGATCCTGCAGTCTCTCCCCTCCTCTGTGCTTTGGAAAGGGGGATGCATTCAGACTTGCTAATTCCCACATTGGAGGAACCAAAGGCTCAGAAAAGTGGAGAATTTGCCTCATTCTAGCACGACAGGAACTAGAATCACATCTACAGTTGGCCAGGTGTGCAGAACTGTTGCCGTCAGTGACAAAAGGGCCAGATGCCGGTAGGTGAAGAGGAATTGAAAATCTGTGTACCCCCTCGGTTTGTTTGTTTGTTTGTTTATTTTCCCCCTTGGTTTTCTTAATGAATCGATGATTATGCTTAGAAAGATTAAACAAATATTCTCCCCTGTTAGTGAAGAGCAGAGGAAAAGGAGCACTTAATTTGGTTTACTGCACCCTCAATAGATGTGTGCCAAATTAAATGATATTGGGCGAAAATGTGTACAGTGTTTCTTTAAGGGAATCAAAGTATAAAAAATATTTTCTCAAATTGTTAGTTGGTTCATTGATTGATTTTACGTGGATGGTCCATATATCGATTACGTTGTTCTTGGGGCCTAAGCATAGGTCGCATACACACTGATAGATCCTTGTATGGCATTTAAAATTTTTAAATTCCTTGTCTTATTATACTATCCATATGCTAGAAATGGGAAAAAAGATGGAATTGAGAAAGAATTCCTTTGCAGTTCTGGGCAGAGGCCAGACTGGATGGCAGGTAGGTCATCGGACTTAGGCTCAAATTGCCTGTGACCTAAAGAGTTCTGTGTTCTATTTTCAAATGTGTTCAAGAAAACACTGGGAGCATTTACGGTTTGAAAAGTCAATCATTGAAGAGGCCCTTTGTGGTCCGATAAGGCAGCCGGGCCTAGAGATGGTTTGTTAGGGCACTAAGTGTGCGGAGAAGAACCATTTGTCTTTGAGGCCTCTCCAGCTCCGGGAAGAGGTGTGCCCCGGCTGTGGCCTCTCTCCGA